ATGATCATCCTTTTTGTAGATGCCTGTTTGAACAGCCTCAAAATGACAAAGTCTGGATGAGACAATTCAATTAATTAATTAATTTTCTTTATAAAGCGCCTAATCACAACAAGAGTTGTCTCAAGGCACTTCACACATCCAGGTCAGTTCATTAAGCCAATCAGTGAAAAGTTTCCTACATAATGAACCCAGCAGGTTGCATCGACTCATTGTCTAGTGCCAGAGTCTTTACAGCAATCCTCATTCTAAGCAAGCATTTTGCGACAGTGGAGAGGAAAACTCCCTTTTAACAGGAAGAAATCTCCAGAGGATCCTGGCTCAGTCTAAGCAGCCATCCTCCACGACTCACTGGGATGGAGAAGGCAGAGCACGCACACACGCACACACACACACACACACACACACACACACACACACACACACACACACACACACACACAGACACACAGACACACACACACACACACACACACACACACATCATGACTGTCTTTTTATACATCATCACAAAATTCACATTTGATGATATTTCTGATAGAATGATCGTGGAACTCCTGCCAGATGTGCTACAGTACTACTTCCTGCTACCGACAACCACAGAGACTGGACAAACGCTTTGTACACTGATCTTTGTTTCCCTGAGCTGAGGTGATTCCAAGTGATGTCTAAAAAAGACAAGATATTAGGGTTTATTCAGGACTGATGAGCTAACGGCTAGTCAGAATGTACCTTAAAACAGCTGCATTCTACGACATGTTATTGCGGATCATAAGCCTGCTATAAGATTCAATTCAATTCAAGTTTATTTATATAGCGCCAAACCACGAGTCGTCTCAAGGCACTTCACATAATAAACATTCCAATTCAGGTCAGTTCATTAAGCCAATCAGAATAATGTTTCCTATATAAGGAACCCAGCAAATTGCATCACAGCAATCCTCATACTAAGCAAGCATAAAGCGACAGTGGAGAGAAAACTCCCTTTTAACAGGAAGAAACCTCCAGAGGATCCTGGCTCAGAATAAGCAGCCATCCTCCACGACTCACTGGGGATCGAGAAGACAGAGCAGACACACACACACACACGCACGCACGCACGCACGAACACACACACACACACACACACACACACACACACACAAAGACAAGTAATGTGTCTATAGTTACATTGTGATTTCTTAGTACATATTCTATTTGGTGAGAGATAAACTTTATTGTATTTATCCTAGTGGATCTATAATTAAACGGGTAAACTAGCAGTAGCACGTCCAACATCAAGAAAGCAAAAAGTTATTATCAGGAGAGGGAGAATGTTTAAGTGGTTAGCAGCAGTGTGCTAGACGATGGCCCCCTCCATGAGGCCACCACAGCTCAGCAGAACATCGTTGTAGCTTCTTCTGGGGAGAAAAACACTTAGAGAGAAAATAAAGTTGACGGCTGAAATTGCAGAAAATAATACAGTTAAAGAGCAGAAGGTAGTGCAGCAGCTAGCTGCAGCCCTTCAAGGCTATTTCTCTGAACGTGAGCTGTTCATGAAGCGTTCTGCAGGGATAAAACAGCAAATATGTCTAACATTTACACAAAACCCCCTTAAAATGTTCAAAATATCACTTTAAGTCACACACCTTTAGTTATTTTACTACAACGTTCTTAGAAATGTGCAGACCTTCTTTTTTAAGGTTTAGTAAACTGCAGATGGAAAGAGAGCCTAAATACTGCAGTAAAAATCACGTCTGATGTAATCACCCTGACACATTCAGGCTGTCTCTGCGCTTTTTGATTTATTTTTTTTAGAATCACTTAATTTTAAAGCAAAGAACGAGACCATAAAACATAAAAATGCACAACATTTGTTAACAATAAAACAAACGTGATCCTTACTAGCTAGGGTATTTGCAAGCAAAATCTTTGCAAAGTGTAAAAAAAAGCCATAGATGGCTTAGGCAAGCTTTAGCTGCCCTCTGCTGGTGCCAGATAGGCACGCACCTCTGAAGTCTCTAAAAACTAAACCGAGATATTCGGTGTTGCTGCGGCATCAGATTTGTCTCAAATCCACAGGAAAACGTCATGAAGCACAAGATGTGCTGCTGAGAGCAGTGTGCTTGTGTCAGGTTGTGCAACAGCACTTTGGGAGCGGCATACTGTATCACTCTGAGGTTTGAAGGACAGCTGTTGCCAATTACAAGGCGAGCCCTGAATAGAAGTGAAGAGGATCTGCTCTCATCTGCTCACTAAAAAAGGAGAGCTTATATCAAACTCAGCTGGGAGTCTCACAGCGTGCCACCTGTTTGAACTCCTCTTTGAATAAAAAATAATAAAACATGTCGAAAGAGTCTCGCTGTGCTCTTCTGGAGCAGATTTCTCAAAAAGCATCTCTGACCAGATTTAGCTGCATCCGTGCTTCCCGAACATGGTGCTAATTATTAAGTTCGTTGTTGTCCCAAACCTGCATAAGCTGTGCAACAAATGACCTAAAGTCAGATTACTTTCACTGTGATGCATTCATTCATCTGAGACAACTCAAAATTGTATTCTGTGTATTGTTGGTGTAACTACAGTGTGTGCTGCCAGCTTGAGCAGCTGTGCAGAACAGCTGGGCTAAAGAGCAGCAGATCAGCCAAAGAATGTGAATCCCGTCCCCGGTCAGCGAGGGTCCACGCCCTCAGACCACCTCTTCCTTCATGCATCACCAACACACTGAAGTTTACACTCACATGCTCATGAACACAACACGAGCTCTCACTTGTCACAAAAATCACAAAAGAATTACTGACGCAATTAAAGAGGTTTTATTTTAAAACTGACCATGACATGTACAACATTCAATTGTTAAACACCAAAACGAATTGTGGACAAAATGTCTCAACGCGCCGTTTATCCCCTACGAGATGAATCCAGTAGGCTAGTTCAGGAGAGAGATTAGTAAGGGTGATTTATTTAGCGTCACAGAACAAAAAATCACATCAAAATTAAAACGAGACTAAAATACAAAATAAAGCCAAATGAATAAAGATCAATAAAAAGAAACAAGGTCATAATACAAATGAAAAAAAAAATATATATATATATATATATATATATATATTTATATTTTAAAGACTTACTTGTTGATGAGAAAGATCGCCAACCTGCATCATTGTATTGGTAAAATTCCGGCGACATGACACGTATCACGATACAGGGGAGACGATACAATGTATCAAGATATATTGCGATACATTGGTGCCAGACGATATTTGCGATTTTTTAAGACTGAAATTGTTGTAGGAAAATTCTATAAACAGTCCAAACTGATACGTAACATGTTTAACATGAGGCATCTGAACCATAATAGAGGGATTTACATTTAAGTGGTGGAAACAAAGCCCATTGCACCCTGCTGCCATCTAGCGGTCAGCTTTGAATGCCCCCCCCCTCCCCCCCAAAAGAAAATACGCAAATGTTTGCATGTAAATTCTTCTAAAAATGTGATAAATGGCTGTTGAATATCAATATAATGTCGCAGGAAAAAACACTGATATATTGCCATATCGACATTTTCTTACATCCCTAATCAACCAAGGTACGTCTTTAAACACAACGTCTGTACATAAGCGATACTCTAATGCCATTGGTTAGAGCTGACTGGCGCTCAGTTCATTTTGCATGGAGCTCTATGGGACAGATGTATTGCCTCACAGTACAGGGTAAGACTATCACTTTTACGGATTTGTAAAATATCATACAAAACTCCTGAAAGTGGAAAACTCCGGATAGCAAATTTTATAACGTCATCATCACTACTAAATCTTTGGTTGTCCATCTTACTAGAGGAGATAAAAAGCTACATATCTAAGTTAATGGTGCTTTTAAACATGTATCTATTATTCTGTACTCAGAAACAAAATACCAGGTCTCATTCCTCACAGCGCTGTGTTTAAAAAGTAGCGTTTGGCACATTAACATCATTTAACATGAAGAATTGATTATCGACTCTTGGACATCTGTAATTCACAATTCTTTAGCGATTTAACCGGTTCGGTTATGTTCAGCTCAGTAGTATTTCACCTTTGGGAGCACACACATCATTTCAAAAAGGAGGTTGGCTCCAGTCAGAGCGGTGTTTCCTGTTGACGCAGACAAACATGAAATTCGGTTTTTAAAAGTGAATATATGAAAAGTATTTCAACAAAAAACTAAGTCTGAGAGGTACCTGTGGTGTCGTAGGGTGGAGAAACTTCAACGAGATCACATCCAACGAGGTTCAGCCCTCGACAGCCCCGAATAATCTCAACTCCCTGAGTCCGGGAAAAATAATAAGAAACACGTCTATTAACATAGAGCAGAAACAGCATGTGCTCTGTCTCGAGTGCATTTAAAATGCATGTCAAATCTAAAAGAAAGGTTCCGTTTGAGGGTGAAAAATGATGCAGAGTTCTACATTCACCCCATCATTATATTCATAAAATTAGACTCAAGAGTTCCAGGTTACCTTCTCACTTGTTTTCACACATTTTCTGCCATATTTGTCATTTTAAAGCACTTTGGATCATTTTACCAAAAGAGTTATCAAAACTGTCGGAATAAAATTTAAAAGGGCTAATTTTTTATTTGGTCCAAATAACATCAAAACTAGTGATGCACCGATATGAAAATGTTGTGCCAATATCGATATCCGATATTGATAGTGATGTGTCCGTTGTGTCGACGCTTCGAAGCGTGTCAGGTATCCAGGAAGATTTTTTGTGAAGCGCGTGTCGAGGTTTGTGTTGATTACGTAAGAAGTGACGTTCGAGGCCTCGTTGGCAGTCCGTACCACATGACCGATTCAGGAACTGGCACGCCGGTTCGCGCCGTATTCAAAATAAAAGGGACAGCCAAATGCCGCTGATTCCCCCTGTCACATTGTGCTGTGGAAACCCTGTGTCCTGTTAATTTCCTATCTCTTTTGGACCAGACAGTATATTAAAAGTTCAGTTTAGGACAATATTAAGAATATATTTCTATCAGAAGCATTTATTTAGTCAGTTTAAAGGTTTAAAGTTTTACTTGAACCATTCACTTGATGGTGCTATAGAGCAAATAAATCATCACGGTGCCTCAAATCAAGACTCAACAAGTTGGATGGAAAACTTCAGCTCATCATGAGGCTTCATCTCGCCATCATTAGATATTAATATCACTGTTAAGGCTGATAGCCGATTTTTGCCGATACCGATATACTGACATTAATGCTTATAAAATCAGCCGATTTTGTCGTTGTCGTCGTCTTCCTCCGCTTATCCGGGTCCGGGTCGCGGGGGCAGCATCCCAACTAGGGAGCTCCAGACCATCCTCTCCCCGGCCACCTCCAACAGTTCCTCCAGCAGGACCCCAAGGCATTCCCAGACCAGATTGGAGATGTAACCTCTCCGACGTGTCCTGAGTCGACCCGGGGGCCTCCTGCCGGCAGGACATGCCCGAAACACCTCCCCAGGGAGGTGTCCAGGAGGCATCCTGACCAGATGCCCAAACCACCTCAACTGACTCCTTTCGATCCAGAGGAGCAGTGGTTCTACTCCGAGTCCCTCCCGAATGTCCGAGCTCCTCACCCTATCTCTAAGGCTGAGCCCGGCCACCCTACGGAGGAAACTCGTTTTGGCCGCTTGTATCCGCAATCTCGTTCTTTCGGTCATTACCCAAAGCTCATGACCATAGGTGAGGATTGGGATGTAGATCGACCGGTAAATCGAGAGCCTGGCTTTCTGGCTCAGCTCCCTCTTCACCACGACAGATCGGCTCAGCGTCCGCATCACTGCAGACGCCGAACCAATCCGCCTGTCGATCTCCCGATCCCTCCTACCCTCACTCGTGAACAAGACCCCGAGATACTTAAACTCCTCCACTTGAGGTAGGACCTCTCTCCCGACCTGGAGTTGGCAAGTCAACCTTTCCCGGTCGAGAAGATTTTGTATAGAATGAAAATTATTAAAGCAGAATTTACATTATTATGTACACAAACAACACGCATTTACGCTTCTGAGATTATTACAATCACTGTCACATGACTAAACAAATACACATCACCCCCCCCCCAACTGATTTATTTATTTTGTGAAATGATGTATTTGAATTATTTTGCTTAAATTACATCATCACATATATAATCTGTAAAAATTCTACTTCAGAATTTCATCTTCAAAAATTCTGCAGCAAACAAGGTGACCTCCTGGTGACCCAAGCCAAAGCCGTTAATCAATGAATCGACACCTCACTTGTGCCATGTGATCAGAGAAGCGTAATTTGATTGGCTAAAAGCCACTCCACTTGATCAAATGACAATTACTTTGGCTTAGGTCACCAGGAAGTCGCTTCAATTGTTAAGTTTTTCATAGACTTGTGACAAACATAAGAATGTTTTATGGGTTTGTTGGAGTTTAGCTACAAACTGTCTGTACTCAGTTTAACTAGTTTACATTTCATCCTTAATTTATTTGTAATTTTGTAGCATTTGACATGACTGGACACAAAATTAATCAATAAGTAGCAACTGGTTTCCACTGGCTCTAAACTTTATCACATTTATATGGTTCTTATTTGGGACTATGGAAGTATACTTTATTGGTGGAAGCCGGTTTTGTGGGCTTTACCTGTGCGGGAGTGAGCCCAGCGATCTCTGGGGTACCCGTTCCAGGAGCAAAGCCTGGATCAAGTGCATCAATATCAAAGCTGAGATAGACTGGACCGCTGCTCATCTGAGCCCGCACCTCAGACATTAGAGGAGCGAGGGATTTGAACCAGCACTCTTCAACCTGGACCACACGAAAACCCTAAAATACAACCAACGTTCAGACACATGGGTCCATATTTACTCAGTATGATTCCAGGTTATGAAGTGAAACCATGAAGGACCTGTCTGATCCACTTCATACCTGAGCCCGGCTCCATTCATACGAGTCAGGGGAGTACCCTGTACCTCTCAGGCCGATCTGAACCACCCTGTTGCAGTCCAGGAGCCCCTCCTCCACACAGCGTCTGAACGGCGTCCCGTGACCAATCTTCTCTCCCAGAACCACATCACTGGTGTCAGCATGAGCATCCACGTGAACCAAACCCACCGGGCCGTGCCTGGTGAATTATCACCATCGATGAGACAATATAATAAATGATTAAGAGGTTTTTGATAATTGATCAACAGTCTTGGTTTCATTGTGATTAACGTTGGACTATTATTCAGTAAATGAATTGAGTTTCACTCAACGAAGCTGAGTTAAGTCTGTTCAAAATCATTTAGAAATAAATAGTTTTGTTGTTTGTATTATGTGCAGTTCATATGACTTTTCTACGGTTGAAAGAGTTTTTGTAATAAATGCACTAAATGTCTGTTATTCCAGTTTCCGTTGTAGAAACATGCTGCATGAGCTCAGGACCACTTCTAACCACATTTCCTAGGTTCATTTGTACTCATCTCCACATCCATACAGCCTCGTTTACAACAAATCTGTAACGGATATGGTCTGGTTTCCGTGTTGACCAAAATTCAGAACACGCACACCAGCTGTGGTGCAGATGCAGATGTGGAGCTCTGGAAAGTTTCTGCATGGGGTCTATTTTTTTCTGGACGTCACATACGCATTGTCATGAAGTTGAAGAAAAGACATGAGCCAGACAGGAGGTGAAACCTGTTTCACAGAGGTACATCCGGTATATTTCAAAATATCACAACATTTTTATCGGCTTTTGTTTTATTATTAATGACAGTGAAATTAGTTCACCGTGTACGATAGTTCACGTTATTTTTACGTGAATCTTTAAAAATGTATTATGTCTTATTTCTGATCACTTGGTGGTCTTGTGAGAGCAGATTTCACAAGACTTTCAGCCCACGAACTGCAGTCAGTGTGAATGACAGTCCAGCACGGAAACTGGAAGGCCTCTGTACCGCACTCAGTGAGTACGTTTCCATGCAGCCAATATCCGGGTTATGATCGGGTTAAGGTCGGGATTCGGGTTTCTGAGTTGATCAGAATAACCCGTTTACAAGCATAAATAAAAAGAGTTACCCCTAACTTGCATAACCTGATTTAAATGCGGACGTTGGGGTAGCGTCAGGACGTGTGGACTACGTCCAGACGCAATATGCGTCATTTCCGGTTCTTCTTGTTCCGGTATCCGTGAAAACAACAACATGTTTCTCAGTTCAGAAGAGATAGCGACCGCATTTGTTTGCGCTTTAGTTTCCTCGTCACTCAAAGTGTGGTGCTGTGCCGCGACTCGCCATGTTGCTCCCAACTTGTTGTTTACTTCCGGTGTTCTGGAGCGTACAAGACGTCTCGCTACTCAAAAGACCAAGATTCCTTGCGAACAGAGCGTGCGCAGAACACACGCTTTGATGGGGATATCCCGGTATGCGTTTACACGACCAAACATTCGGGTTAGAAAAGGGTTACCCCACGTGTATGTATGAGCATATCCGGGTTTTTGGCGGTGTTTACAAGGACCTGCGGAACCGGGTTATTGTGAATATTCGGGTTTTAAAAGGGTTACTGGCTGCATGTAAACGCACTGAGTGTGGAACCGGCTTAATAAATGACTGCAAGGGTTTTGAGTAACTGTTGCTGCCACCAGTGAGACAATGACAACGTCAGGCTTGTCTGTAGTGTGGACCTGCAACGCAGCAAAAAGATTTCACACAGGAAAAAACGTAATGAAAGGAGCGATCAGACTGGAACGGCTGAACATAAACTCTTTCCTTTCTAAATCTTTCCACTGGTTTAAGAGAAGTGCTGCACCAACGCTAGTAGGGATGTCCCAATACAACTTTTTTCATTTCCGACACTATACCGATATTGCAGCCTTCGGTATTGATCAATACCAATATCAATCCGATACGATATCAGCACAAATCATACATACTTTTACCCATTTCATAGTGTGGTGAGATTACTCAGTCGGAGAACAAGAGTCAAGAACAGTAAGTATGAAAAAATGATGATGGTTTTTAACCATTGGTTGCAAAAATGTGGACCTTAACAGACTGCTTATATCGGAGATTTCTGATGCAGTCCGATATAATCCGATACAGTGTTTTTGGGGTGATATCAAATTACTTTCGATATTGATATCGGAATGGGACATCCCTAAAAGCTAGAGCATGTAATCGCACACAGCGTGTATAACACACTCACCTCTCAGCAACAGCTTGCAGGATGGGATAAGCAATAGTATGATCTCCACCTGCAGACACCAATAGTTCCTGAACACCTGAGCTTTAATGGAACTCAGCGACACTTACAGGGCTGTAGGAATGGCTAATGATTGTACAGATAGATGTCTGAAAGTCTGCAATGATGTGCTAGAAATCATTTACTGATTTATCTATGGTAATCTGTGACGACACGTGTGCAAATGTGACACACTTGCCCATAGTCAGAGGGATGCAGCCAGTAGCCAGGATCTTCCTGTATGCCTCCCTGATGCGCTTGCAGGTGTCCTTCAGATCAAATAAGTTCACATTGACATCCCCAATGTCAGCAACCACCAGAGACTCGTAGGGTGCCGCCCTGGTGCCGCTGTTGTACGCCCTCAGCAAGGCAGACTCCACCCTGATCTGTCGTGGGCCAAACCTGTGGAGAGGAGGGGGGCATCACAGAAGCATGTGGGTTCAGGTGAAGTGTAGGTTCGCCCTGGTGTATCACATCCAACTGAGAATGTGAGACAGACATTGTAGATCATTTGGGACCATTGGTGAGGTAAACTTGAACCCATGATAAATGCTTCACTGAAATAAACAATACTTTTCTTGTTTTCTTAAAGACGTTTCAGCTGTCATGCAAGAAGCTTTTTATCCACACCACAATTTATAAGCCTCCTAAACCCAAGTTTTCTGAAGCTTTGTGCATGAGATGCGAAACATCTTCAAGAAAACAAGACAAGTCCACTTGTTTGAACATTTAGGATTATCATGCCCTGCCTGACTGAGAAGCTACAGTCCTAACCAGTGTTGGGAGTAATAGCGTTTAAGTAACGGTCTTACTAACCAGGCGCGCAGATAGGGTGGGGGACCTGTCCCCCCAGATTCAGATCGACCCCGATCCGTCCCCCGCACTAAGGCCAGAAAGAAAACAAAATCGGAGGTTAAGCGCTTGAAGCTCCTTTTTCCAATTACAATGAATGCATAATGATGTAAACTAACACCAACTCCAGAGGCGTTAAAGGCAAGCAACAATTACTGTTTTTTAAAAAGACCAACAGTGTAAGCAGGCGGTTACCGATCTGTCTGTTTATGCGTGTTGGTTCTAGATTCACTACGTTGTTGTCAGTGTTGGGACTTACTCGTTATAAGCGCCAAAGCCTCATTGATGACTTTAACAAGTCTCATCTACAAATATGATCCCTCATGAAGTTACTGCTTTACACCAGAAGATAGTGGAGATGTGTAACCCTCAGGCTGAGAAAAGTTTGGGAGTTTTTAGAGTTTGAAAACGCCTCCCGCCGAGAGGCTCCCAGTCGGGGAGAGGAGGAGATGTGCGCAGCATGAAGAGCGCAAATATTAGATAAAGCATATAATTGTCGGCAGGTCTGGTCTTTGTTGACTGATCACTTTGTCTGGTAATGACTGACTCTGATTATGAAGCAGGATATTGACTCTGATGAAGAAATTCACTCATCCAGCCGGGACGATTGACGCTGCTGCAGCATCAGACAGCTGGTGCTGCACGAGAGGTGTGTGGAGCTTACAAGCTCCAAACGTTGGGTTTGATGCTGGTTTAACCTTCTCTGGGACGTGATGGATGTAGAAATGATGGTAGACGCCGCAAACGTGACAGACGTAGTGATAATGTAAAAAAAAAGCCGTAAAAACGAAGCAGATGCCGATGCGTTAATTATGGAAGTCAAAGTGTGCCACATAATCATAAAAAAGGTAAAATATAAATTTTCAAAAGAGCTTTATGCATTTATATATAAATTAAAACGTTCCAAATATAATGAAAATTTCGAAATAACGTAAAAATACGAAGGAACATCTGTTGGTCAGGCTGAAAAGTTTGGGAACTACTGCTCTAAGTGATAAGTGAATATTGTTTTAAAAAAAATTGTGTGCAGTTTTTTAGGGCTTTTATGTTTTCTGTAAAGATTGGTATGCTGAAAATCAGTTCAAGTTTAAATAAAATATGTTTTGCATAAAGCATGAGGTTTTGGTTAGTACTTGATTGGGAGAATAACAAATGACTGATTTGGATAGTGTTGATCAGGCAGAGCTTTGTTGCCAGCGTTCCACTGCACAATGGCTTCAAACACGTATATACTAGTTAGTTTTTTCATAAACCATCGGATGAAATTACACAAACTGACTAAGCTCTAGATAAGGCATTTGCAATAGTGTGTGTATGTGTACGTGCGTGCGTGTGTGGGGGAGGGTGCATTGGAACGTTGTCCCCCCCAGTTTGAAAATCCTATCTGCGCCCCTGTTACTAACGGCATTATTAGGTAACGGAACAATTAATTACTGTTCCCAGGTGTTTGCAGCAAAAATGGCACCAATTAAGCATATTGTGTTAACACAATACTTGCTCAGCAATCTTATCATAATTGCACCCAAGTTTCTTATCATTTTAGAGCCAGAAGGAGCTCAAATGTCCTGTTTTGATGAAAATACTGCAGTGAACAGTTTCAGTGTTGAGCTCCTCAGGAATTATATCAATTCCAGTTCTGGATTACCAACTGGATTGGGCCCAGGACCAAATTTGCAACTATCCGCGGTTCTCCACCAGCAGCTCATGAGAAAATAAATCACACCTTGCTCCAGGTCGGTTCGACGTCCCGGTATCGATGGGGACGCCAACAAACGCCGCGTCCAGCCCGTCGGCCAACTCCCGGTACGGTAGTTTAGCCATGGTGGGGATCCCAGACACCCGAGCCACGAACTCAGCGCTCGGCGGGACGTTGAAGCGCCTCCCGGAACACCTCCGGGTGAGACTCAAACATGGAGATCTCCGCTCGCTGCACACAGATTGCACTCGTTTCTGCGGCAATAAGAAAATATCCGCTGCAGCGCGAACAAAATTCACTTTTCTCCACACGGGAAACATTGTCGGTAACTTTAAAGTGAACCGTTCCGGTCAAAGGCGACAGGCGACGTGCTGCGTTTGGGTTCCTCCGGAGATTTCTACACGCTACTGTGATTATAAGTCTTTAACTCTTTGATGTATGAAATATGGAATCTTCAACCAAGATTTTTTTAAACAAATTTTCATCACCTTTAAGTATGAATGAAACTAATTCCAACTATTTTTTGTAACATTTAATTTCCAAATATTTTATGACATTCCCACCTCAGTGTTCAGGCCCGTTTTGAACATGAAATATTGGGGGGGGGGGGGGGGGGGGGCTCAAATGCAGTAAAGTCTTCAACAGCTGTGCTTAATTAGCCCAGTGAACTAGACCAAAGTCTTGCTTTGCAAAGTTTGGTCTAGCAACGCTCCACTGGAACCTCTGCAGCCCCAACAGCATTCTGGCTGGCCAATCATAGCTCTCTAGAGGGGTTTCAAATGATAAATGATAAATGACCCGCACTTGTATAGCACCTCTCAGAGTAAGGACTCCAAAGCGCTTTACACTACAGTGTATCATTCATCCATTCACACACACATTCATACACTGGTGGGGATGAGCTACGATGTAGCCACAGCTGCCCTGGGGCGCACTGACAGAGGCGAGGCTGTCGAGCACAGGCACCACCGGACCCTCCGACCACCACCAGCAGGCGAGGTGGGTTAAGTGTCTTGCCCAAGGACACAACAGCAGAACTCTCTGTCCGGAGCCGGGATCGAACCTGCAACCTTCCGATTACTGGACAACCCGCTCAACCTGTTGAGCTACTGCTGCCCGAACAAATAAAGAGCTGTGATTGGTCCATAATGGTGGGCCAATCATAGTGCTCTATCTGCTTAGTGAACAAATCACAGAGCTTTATCCGCTTTGTGGGCCAATCAGGGCACTCTATATGCCTGGTGGGTGGGATGATGCAACAGAGTGAAACAAGAGTATGTCACGTTCATTGTCCAGTAGCATGCGGAGATCATTTGAAAGACAACGGTAGAACCCGCCCCACAACCGAGAGCCGTCAATGGAGCGTTGCCAGACTAAATAATACATTTATTTAGTCTGGCTTGCCAGGCTAGTGCTTAATAGCAAAAATTAATTAATTTCAGTAGCTGTCCACTGTAATGAGCATTATGCATGAAATAGTTAAAATAGATGTTGCATGATTGTCTTTTATTTCTGCATTTGTTTATTTAAAGTTTATTTAAAGAGGTATTCTTCAAGCTGCTCCGTGTCCTCGGCTCTCTTTGTGTTTTTGAGTGCGCAATGGCGGCGGTGTAGACGACAGCGGCGTCCTGACCAATCACAAGCTTGGGTTGTCCATCTCGACTAACGGATGTTTAGAAAAGAGAGCTCGACTCCATCCGTCCTTGCGGCGCTTTCCAGCAGGCCCGCAAGGACGTTGCGTGTCTCCGCACTGACGCAGACGGAGAAGCATGAATCTGGCTATTTTCTTCACAGCTGGTAGTAAACTGAGCTGGCGACCTGAAGGATGTGGTAAAGCCTCTACTTTGAGCTCTGGAGGCAGCATCTACCAGCAGTTTCTCGTTAGCTGCTTTCAGTGTTGCACAAAGGACATTTCACTGTCAAAGATGACTGGTTGCCAAGGCTGGACTTCACAGACGAGTGTAAATCACCCAGGTCCTGTTTAATCCCTGGGATTGAATCAACAGGGGTGGAAACCAGAGTTTCAGTTTTGTCCATGTTTGGGTACAAGGAGTTGTCATTTAGCCATTTCTTTTAATTTCACTAAACAATGGAGCAAATATCTTGATTTAATCATCTCAGACTGTATAAAAGAGCAATATAGCTGAATATCATCGGCAGGTGGAAAGAGACGTCACTAAACATGTGAATGATCTTACCTAAAGGAGTCAAATACAGCAAAAGAAGAACTGGGCCCAGGACAGAGCCTTGGGGTACTTCACATAACCAATCTGCGGATTCAGACCTTATTTGATTTGCTGTAACACTAAAGCTACATTCTGATTATTAAGAAGAAAACCGCTGAAGAACTGTCCCTGATAGTCCTATTTGATCCCTCGGCCTCCTCAGTAGAACTTGATGATCAGCTGTATCGAAGGCTGAAGACATATCCAAGAGAACCAGAACAGTTCGTTTTCCGGAATCAGCAGCCATCATAATGTTGCTGGACACTTTCACTAGTGGTATTTACAGAAACGAGACTGAATCAGCCCAAGTATGTTACTTTGATTCAGGAAGGAAGACAACTGTTCATAGAGACCACCTTCACAAGGATCTTAGAAAGAAGCGGAAGCTTTAAAATAAGCCTAAAGCTGTTGAGATCTATTGGGTCTAAGCCTGCTTTCTTCAGTAATGGCTCCATTATGGCAGGTTTAAAGTGACAGTGTGTATTTTCCCTGGCAATAGGTGGCAGTACATACCTAAATCATTGCAAGCATGCATTATTTTTGTGTTCAAAATAAGACCTTACCATCGGATGGCCATTAGAGTCAAAAATCGCTGGTTGTGCAACCTCCAGCCAAATGACAAGCACATCAGATTTCCTTTCATCACTGGCAACGAGTGAAGAGGTAAATGTGTAAAACAAGTACGTTTATTATTGGTGAAAGTTTTGTAACCATTTGTTACAAATCAGTAAATGTGTTTTGTCCTCACAGGCTTCCGTATAAGGAAACATGGCATCCAGTATGGCTTCACCTGCGCAGACTTAGACCCATGTATTTTAGAACAGATTTTTATGGTTATATGTTATGAAACTGCCAATATTTTTCAACAACTCGGCATCTTTTAATTGTTTACAACAGCGTTTCAATGGATATTTCCAGAGATTAATGATAAAAACTACACATTGTCACTTTAAGCACTGGGAAACACACCTTGAACGAGAGGTTAACCATTTCAGTAATACACAGGCCTAATGCCTTAAACACTTCTCTGAAGAGCCAACAAGGAACATCGGATGAACAATATGAGGGCTTCATCTTAATCAGCAGTGCCAAAATATCTACAAGCATAATATTCTTAAATGAAGACCACATGCTGCAGAGAGCAGGAGTGTCCTGCCCCCTGGAAAAGGCGGAATTTAATGTTTAATCGACTTGATTTTGTTAGTGAAAAATCTCAGCAAGGCGTTACTGTCTGCTTCACAAGAAACGGGAAACAGCAGGGCATACACGCACATTTATTGTGTCACGCTTTGGGATTTTTCTTAGTTCAAGTTCATTATTTATCAAAGAAAATAGAATCTATTTTTGTCAAAAGACGCTAAATCAAATTCTAAAGCGTCAAATAGTTAATTTTTATTACGCCATCTTCTTAACGGCGCATGTGGTGGTGGTGTGCAGCAAATGGTTACTGCGTCTGGCTGTCAGAGCTCTGCTTGCACGTTTGCGCGCCCCCGCTTGTCCTCATTCAGTCGCGCGTCCCCGCAGCAGCCTTCATTCGGTGCGCATCGCGGACAGACACGCTCATCTCTGCACTTGTCTCATTACATTACATAATACCGACAAGCGAACATGGTAAGCACGAGCTAAACTTGTTATTTCAACAATTTTTCGCAGTGTTTGTGTTTTTACAGCATTTTATTGGAAAATTGGTCAGATTTTACCCTTTGATACGCAAACCTGTAGGTGATCCACATTGTTTATTGGTCAGAATAAAATGCTCGACAGATTCCAAAACGCGTTTGCGCACAACAATTTATTTCGACATTGTATTCAAATAAGTCAGATGTAGGTCAAACAAACACTGGATCTGTGTGTGCATGATTGTAAATCAGCTTATAGAGGCCTCATCTGCCCGCAAGGCTCTAATAACCTCACTAGCTGTAACCCTTCAACAAAACGTTTATGTAGACTCACCCATTCTAAAGACAATCTCCTGTTTAAAGGGGAATCGTTTCATTAAACTGGATCAATTCAACTGGGGTGCCAACAGTCTTTTAAATGTAAAAGATCAGCGATGTGGAGGCAAACTGCCTCCGAAGAGCTTTTGAATGGTGCTTTTTAGAGAGCAGCACTGCAACATGTCTGACCTAGATAATCTCCCGTCTCTGCAGTAATCCTGTGCAAGTGGCAGCTTGATGTCGCAGCACAAATTGCCTGTCCTCTATAAAGAAAACGCATGCACGTTATCAATCAAAGCAAGATGTTTCATTTTCCTTTAAGAAGATGTGAAATAAAACAGGTTACTTGTTTTCCTTCAGCTCTTTTTTAATTCAAACCAACTAAATGTCTTTAATCCCAGCGTGAGTGCATCTCCATCCACGTCGGTCAGGCTGGTGTCCAGATCGGGAACGCCTGTTGGGAGCTTTACTGCCTGGAACATGGAATCCAGCCCGATGGACAGATGCCCAGTGACAAAGCCATAGGAGGTGGAGATGATTCCTTCAACACCTTCTTCAGTGAGACTGGAGCTGGGAAACACGTTCCTAGGGCGGTTTTCGTTGACCTGGAGCCTACTGTCATTGGTAAACTCTAGAGATATTCCTAATGCAGTTGTCTCTTCAGATTAAAACCCCTGCATTTCTGATTGAATCTCTCTTCAGACGAGGTTCGCACTGGAACCTACCGCCAACTGTTCCACCCCGAGCAGCTGATCACGGGTAAGGAAGATGCTGCCAATAACTACGCTCGTGGACACTACACTATTGGCAAAGAGATCATTGACCTGGTTCTGGACAGGATTCGCAAACTGGTGGGTGAATTTTAATTGTGCAGAACAATAAACATGAATCAGTGACCTGACCAAACGTAACAAACCAATGTCTTACCTTGGTTTTCATCTGTTTTTAATCCTCAGGCTGACCAGTGCACTGGTCTTCAGGGCTTCCTGGTCTTCCACAGCTTTGGTGGAGGTACCGGCTCTGGTTTCACCTCCCTGCTGATGGAGCGTCTGTCTGTGGACTACGGCAAGAAGTCCAAGCTGGAGTTCTCCATCTACCCAGCTCCTCAGGTGTCCACTGCTGTGGTGGAGCCCTACAACTCCATCCTGACCACCCACACCACCTTGGAGCACTCTGACTGTGCCTTCATGGTGGACAATGAGGCCATCTACGACATCTGCCGTAGAAACCTAGACATCGAGCGTCCCACCTACACCAACCTGAACAGGTTGATCAGTCAGATTGTGTCCTCCATCACTGCGTCTCTCCGCTTTGATGGTGCCCTGAATGTTGATCTGACAGAGTTCCAGACCAACCTGGTGCCGTATCCCCGTATCCACTTCCCTCTGGCTACCTATGCTCCTGTCATCTCAGCTGAGAAGGCTTACCACGAGCAGCTCTCAGTTGCTGAGATCACCAACGCCTGCTTTGAGCCAGCCAATCAGATGGTCAAATGTGACCCCCGCCACGGCAAGTACATGGCCTGCTGCCTCCTGTACCGTGGTGATGTGGTGCCCAAAGATGTCAATGCTGCCATCGCCACCATCAAAACCAAACGCAGCATCCAGTTTGTGGACTGGTGTCCCACTGGTTTCAAGGTTGGCATCAACTACCAGCCTCCCACTGTGGTTCCTGGTGGAGATCTGGCCAAGGTCCAGAGGGCTGTTTGCATGCTGAGCAACACCACTGCTATTGCAGAGGCCTGGGCTCGGCTGGACCACAAGTTTGATCTGATGTACGCTAAGCGTGCTTTTGTTCACTGGTATGTTGGTGAGGGGATGGAGGAGGGAGAGTTCTCTGAGGCCAGGGAGGACATGGCAGCTCTAGAGAAGGATTACGAGGAGGTTGGAGTCGACTCCATTGAGGGTGAGGGAGAGGAGGAGGGAGAGGAGTGTTAAGAGGTCGAAGCATGAGTTAATCACGTAAAATCGGTTTTTAAGTAAACCCCAAACTGAAATACAGTCCTTGTTGTCTCCAGTTGGATCTGAAATAAACTAAGAATGCTTAAATGTTTCAGTATTTTTAATAGATTATTTAGGACATTGTTTATCACCAACAGCTTGAAAGTGATATTTGAACTTATTTACAAGCTTTAATTCAATTTAGTTTTATTTATATAGCGCCAAATCATGACAAATCGCATCAAGGCAATTGTTCCAATTGAGTTTAGCTCATTATGTCAATTACATTTCCAAAGTGAGGAACCCAGCAGATCGCACCGAGTCACTGACTTGTGCAGATAACACTTCTTCTGTTTAAATAGACAACGTGTAGTTTTTACCATTAATCTCTGGAAATATCCATCAAAATGTTGTTGAAAATGAAAGAAATGATGCCCAGTTGTTGGAAAATACTGGCGTCGTCGTAACATATAACCCTAAAAATTGGGTCTAAAATATATGGGAGATGGTCTAAGGCCCTGTCCACACGTAGCCGGGGATCTGCCAGAACGTAGATATTTTTCTACGTTTTGGCCTGTCATCCACACGAAAACGGATCTTTTTAAAAACTCCGGCCAAAGTGAAGATCTGCGTTTTCTCCGTTTTGGGTGTCTGCGTGTGGACAGACAAAACCGGAGTTTTAAGGTCCGCAACGTCACTTTCCGCGACAAAAAAATCCTGACATCACGTGTGCGACCTGTGTTTACACTAGCCGACAGCATGGATGCCCTCAGAGCTGCGCTCGCTTTATCAATTGTCCAAGCGCTTTTTGCTTGTTTGTTTTTGCAAGAGGAATTACTGCTCCTTGCGGAAGACCACAGACGAAGGACGAGGTTAAGAACGGGGGAAGTACTGCCGCCTACAGGTCTGGCATGTCCTTAACAACGAATTTATCCGGGTACGTGTGGACAGTTTTTTTTTTAAACGAGGTGGTGTGGATGCAAGTTTTTGGAGGGGCGGATATTCGTTTAAAAAACCCGGCTACGTGTGGACTAGGCCTAAGTCTCTGGGTGACACCATATTAGATGCTGTGTTTCCTTCTACGGGAGCCCGTAGAGGACAATATACATTTAATGATTTGTAACGAACAGTTACAAAACTTTTACCATTCATAAATGTTATTGCTTTACACATTACCTCATCACTCACTGCCAGTGATGAAAGGGAGTCTGATGTGCTTATTTTGCTGGAGGCTGCACTCACAGAGATTTTTGACCCTAATGGCCATCTGTTGATAAGGTCTTACTCAAACACAAAACTACAGCTTGCTTGTGATGACTTAGGTATGTATTGCCACTTATCGCCAGGGAAAATACACGTTGTCACTTTAAGAGTGTAATGTTAGCTGTTTTAAAGAAACTGCTTCATTTTAAACTAAATACCAGCAAAGACTCAATAGAAAATCTGCCCAGGCACTGAAAGATTGACGACCTTGCACTACTTATGACACGTATTCATAGTGTGACCTCACACTGAATGACTCAGCTACTATCAAAATGATTGGGTTAGTCATTTTTGTGTTTTCTAATATTATGCAGCTGTGGTGGCCATCTTGAATTGGCTTCATTTGAAATGCCAATCAGCAATAATTGATTTCTGACTGTTGCATTAAAATCCATCCAGTCCTCCATAAGATATTTTGACACACAAACCAACAAAAACATCATCACCAACCAAAACTCAAAATTCAGTCAAATTCATTGCAAAGGTAACAAAAAGCTGAAGGGTGCACTGAAATCAAACATTAACCATAATTGGAGATAATTGCGTTTGAAATGATTTTATTCTGAAATTCAACCTTTCTACATGTCCAAAAATATTTCCAACAATCTTCAATGTACCAAACTATAATTACAACATGGATTTGCATCCCAAACTACTGACGTACAGCTGAAAATAACCATATAGTGCAGTAAATGAATCTGTCTTTCTAGCGACGGTGAAATGGTTGCTTTTCATTTATAACACATTTAAAACACCAACTATTCTTGAATACAATTCTAGAAAAATGCAAACAGGAAAACGGAGTGCATTATTATGCATGGTCAGGGGCGGATCTACAAAATTATTTATGGGGTGGCAGAAGAGGGGCAAACATTTTTCTAGGGTGGCCATTCATATATATATACACACACACATAGATAGATAGATAGATAGATAGATAGATAGATAGAGATAGAGATAGAGAGAGAGAGAGAGAGAGAGAGAGAGAGAGAGAGAGAGAGAGAGAGAGAGAGAGAGAGAGAGAGAGAGAGAGAGAGAGACGTTTTCCTTTTTATTTTCCCAGGATTTGCATATTCATTTGTTTTGGGTCCTCATTTAATAAGCTTAAAGGCCCATCATGAAAATAAAACACATAATAAAATTATGTCCTTCCTACAACAGCTGAATGCGGCAGTTTCCATGTTGCTCAGCAAAACAATTTACACATTCATCAAGGTCCAAAGATTTTGCCCGTTTTGATTCAATGCTGAGTACAGCCTAGCTTCATAGTCTTTTCTCTGTCAAAGGAGACTGCAAATAGGTCTTTATGAGCCAGACAGTTGAAAAACGTTGATTTTTCTTGAATTTATAGCTACCAGCTGGGGTGGCAGCAGCGGTAGCAAGGCTTTCTTTTAGGGTGGCAACTGCCACCCTATGCCACCCTTATAGATCCGCCCCTGTGCATGGTACTAATGATCTATGGATGTTTTACCATGACTTCATCTTTGTTAAGCATGCCGAACACACGTTACGCAGAAACCTCCTAAAACCAGCTCTTTGGAGAGGGTTTCAGATGTTGCACCTGCAGGTAGCTGACCTCACCCTACCCAGTAGATCCTCACAAGTGTAACATGGTTTTAATTTTAAATATCTGCATTGGTCACTTCCACACTGTGACAGACCTGTGTCTACAAATGTGCATGAGAGCTTTCAGGAGACAGGATCTACTCTTAACCACCAGCAGCCATTTCTACTCTCATTACAGAATTTTTAGTTTTTTTTTTTAAATTAACAAACATCTCAGTGATAAATTAGATTTTTAAAGATTAGGTACTGAAATTTTTATTCAAAAACTAAAGCAAAAGGGAAGAATTGACCCGTTTTGGAACATCAGTTACTTCCAAAAGCCTTTGATATAAATTTATGTTTTTTGTACTTTTGAATACAGATGTTACTCATCTTTGTGTGGGATTAAATTTAGCCTCTAAAGGTTTGTTCCAGACTTCCTCTGACCAGATTTCCCTTGAACAAGTGGCCAGTTGGACTTGGGTGTCCCTGCAGACGGCTCTCGCACATTTAGACCCAGTAGAACTCTGGATCTCTAAAATCATTCCCTCCCAGCTGTCCTTTGTATAAAGTTCCTCCTTGGTGACGTCTTCTGTTAGACCTTCACAGACTTTCTCACATGGGTCATCACTCACGCATACACCCACACCTTCTGCATGATGTTGTGTTCCAGTTAGCGTGAGATGTTGCTCCATCTGGCTGGAAAACAGTCATTGTGAGGATACAAACTATGATGGAGAGGGAGCAGTCCGCTCGCTCGCTCGCTCCCTCCCTCCCTCCCTCACTCACTCACTCACTCACTCACTCACTCACTCACTCACTCCCTCACTCACTCACTCACGTGAAACCAGGCTGAACAAATCCAGAACCCCGTTCTCTGACTTTCAATAATAAATTTGATCCCATACAAAAAAATCCAGGAAGACCTGGAGCTGTCATTTTCAGTAAACGTGTAAAATTTCTGTGTGCTATAAAAGGTTTTCGAGCTAGCTGACGCTGAAATCCGGCCTTTCGCATGAGCGTTAAGCTACTGCTCATTCATACAGCAGCTAAATGTTAAATCAAGCACAACAAAAACACAGCAGGTATCCACCCATAGTTTAACTACCAGCGTTTCTTTTTGAGGGTCCGAGTTACGGTTTGGACCGGATCTACGCTGACAGAGAGCAGCCGCGGCGCTGCTCCCAACCATAGAGGAGGAAGCCCATTGCGGTGCGCAGCTCCACCAGGTCCAGATTGGACAGAAAGCTTCTCTGAAGCTCCGCCTCCACCCCATTCCCACTGGGTCCAGCACAGCCCTTCAGGAGAACCACCGCAGACTGGCACAGCAACCAGTCAACGAGTTTCTTCGTGCCAGCACTGTCCTGACTGGCCAAAACCTTCCGACCCCAGAGGCTGAGATGTAGCATGTTAGCCGCTACACGTGCACTGGGCCGCTGAGGAGGAAGAACAGAGGCAAACAGAGCTAATCATCAATTAAAAACAAACGCTTCCAAGTGTAAGAGATCAGTTTATAACTGGACCTATCCTGCTTTACCCGCTCTGGGTTTCTCCTGAGAAGTAATTGTATCACCAACTGCACATCAGCTGGACTTCTGGAAGGAAACAGAGGAAGCTGTTTCTCCTGGTAGTCGGTGCTACGCAGTCCCCCAGCCTGATAGAACGGGTTCTGCTCTCCAAGTATCTCATAGGAGATCGCCCCAACGGCCCAGGCGTCCGCCTTGCTGTAGTCAATCACCACACCGCTTCCTGGGACTGCGGTGACCACCTGATGAGACAAATAACCCATCACAGCAGGTAAAGACACACCGCCTCAGAGAAATCCAGGAACAGCCGGAGTGTTTGGTGTTGTGTTCAAGGTGGTCCACACGGTTCGGCGGGTCTGATTTGTTCGTTAGACGCCTGCAGGTACACCTGGAGTCGGCCAGGCTGGAAGTGTCGCTGAAGGTGTTTTATGTTTTTAAAGGGGCATTATGGAAGTGTGACAGCCATAACATGTATAGAAATAATAAATGTCTTCTTCATACTTTCTCCTGCAATGCCCTGGTCCTGTAGAATGAGCCCTGGCATTTTTACTGTGATTGCCTGTTTTTCTGTAAAATCACAGAAAAAGAGAGATGCTCGGGTCGAGCAGGCTGCTTCATGCGTGTTCACGCTCAGGCATCGCCCGTAGCATTTGCTATCCGTAGCTTTAGCAGCAGAGAGAGAGGCAGTGCCACTTTGTCGCTGTTCCTAACGCCTAGTGACAAAGCTAGCTACATTTCTGAGCACCCTTAGCTACTTCCTTCTAGATATTTCCTGCAAATTAGCAACAAAATAGCCATTTTCGCTCCGAACCGTTCTTTGAACGTTGTTTCAGCTGTCATCAAGGATATAAAAGTTACAGATACAAAGGATGTCATTGGCATTTTAGCTCACCTAGTAAGACGTCGGACTCTCGTGCCGAAGACCTGGGTTCGATTCTGGGTGTGATCATAGTTTATTTTTTACATTAATGGTATATTTTTTTACAGTAAGATGCCCAAATTTTTATTTGAGACTTGGCGAACGGCATTGAATTCACAGATAAAAAAGATGTGGGTTCAACTTTCATTTTGGAACAATTTTTCAAGCAAGGGAAGGGAATGATCTGAGCATGCAGGAGGACTGACCCATCATAAACCTTTGTCGGCTGTGCTGAAGAGAAAGGTACAGAACCAAATTATTTAATTAATTAGCTGTGCGTTCTCCTGTCCTCCCGGCTACACACACACACACACACACACACACACGGGACTGTCTCAGCTGTTATTTTCATTAAGGAGTGTGCACGTACAGCATGCGTGCACGAGCCTACTATTGAAGCTGCCGTTATGCTTTTGGCCTGAGGGGGCAATCGCGAGCATAAAAATTCAAAACGCCGTAAAGTCCCTTTAATGAAAACTAAAGTTTAAAGAAAATAAGCATCGTTTCAATTAAAATCTTAATTCCTAACTAGCCTGTGCTGTTTTCTACTCATACTAATTTCACGTGTTTCCACGTTAATCAAGAACTTTTCCAACAGATCCCAAGCCCTTGAGCCAGTAAGTTTTGTGAGTAATTCTCAGCTCAATATAATCAAACCAGTAAAGTTGGAGACATTTTTCTGTTTGCTGATCTGACCTTAGGAACTAAACAGCTAAAGCTGGCTCTGATCCTGATAAAGAAGAGGTGAAGCGTACCTCAGGAGCCATGAGCGAGATGTTTCCTCCTCTGCTGACACACAGGCTGCTGAAGGGAAGCTGTAGGCTGGAGCCACTCTGAGCCAAACAGCAGCCAAAGTCAGTAATCACTAAACGAGGACAACCACCTAGAAGAATAAAACCCAAACAAAATCATTTTAGTGCAACAGATAGAAACATGGCGTCTAATGGAAGCTTCGTGTTTTTAAATCCGACCCGAGTCAAACTCCAGCAGCACGTTGTCTGACTTGAGATCCCGATGGGCGACGCCCTGCTGGCACAGATGATCCACCCCCTCCAGGAGCTGCAGTACCATCAGGGATCTCTGCCTGCAGCTGGGCTTGGTCACCTGCAGGTACTGTCGCAGTGTGCAGGGATAACTATGGAAGCAAAAAACAACACTTATGTATCTGAGGATGACCTGCACAGCAAAAAGTGAAAAATGACCAGAATGATCCACTTGAATGCATCTGCTGGCCTTCTTCTTTCCCCAAAAGTCTGTTCACAAACTATTTCACATTTAGGAATCGGGTCTCACTTCTTCATGACCACAAAAAGAGTGCGGTTGTTGCCCAGGCCTGCGGGGTTGAGTCTGGCTGGAAGCACATCTGGATACTCTTCCTGAGCTCCTGGAAGCAACGGCACATCTGCAGTGAACGCCCGGTGAACTCTGATCACATTAGGGTGAGCAGAGACCCTTTTAGGGACGACTCCAAAATATCTGCATGTAGAGAGATCAAACATAAGCATGACTATCGTCCTCAGATCTGCACTACACTGCAGAATGTGTAAACATCTACCCATCCAGGGTGATCTCTTCCTCTTCTGGCTTAAATGCAAGAGGACCAGAAGGAACCAGCTCCTGTGACATAGATTTTAATATCGCCTCACTCGAAGACCCTGCCTGCAAACAAATGACATTTAAAAGAAGTCGTTTTTATGTTTTTTTTTAAGTTTCCTTTTTCTTTGGACCTGAATGACTCACCCCAAAGTTCCACAACATCTTGATAGCCAGGGGGAAGTTCATCAGAGAGCAGCACGTTGGAGATCTCACCATCTGGACATCCTCTTTGTCTTCTCTGACCTGTTCCAGCGAGTGCTCTCCATTGCTTTCCTTTGAGTTAAAAAACTGAGGTGCCGCTTCGTACACAGCTGCATTTGAACCTTTACCAATCTGGTTTCCAATGATGTAGTCTTCCAGCTTGTATCCAGAGCTGAACGGTATGAGAGGGCTCTGGAACGTTTTCTTTCTGAACACTGCCTGCAGTTTGGGAGAAAGAATTGGTTCAGAACCTACTCTTCAAACTCAGCGTTTCCATCTGATCTGCTCTTTGGGTGTTCCCCAAGGCTCTGTCTGGGTCCCCCACTACAAGCCGAGTGTATTTATCTGACACATAAACAACAATGCATTTGAAGATGTGATGGTTCTTTGCATTCAATGCTGAGAACAGGACCACACCAACCCCGCAGTCATGGCTCTTCCACTCCTCCACAAATGAGCTCACAGCTTTCCTCGACATCCTGCTCATGTTCTAGCAGCCCACTGTTGCTGCTCAGGAGGCCACCATCATGCTGGTTCACTGTGGTTTCCAGAGAAATTCTCAAACTCTTCTCGTTTCAACTTCTGTTTGAATCATTAATATTTGGCCATGACTGCAAGTTTGCGTTTCGAGAGAACCTCACCTGGATCTCCTGACAGGCTGTCGCACTCCGTCTGTCATCTTCAAGCTGTTGCTCGACGAGACCCACGCCGAGACCGAAAGCCAAAAACAGGGCCCTGTTACGAGGCGAGCCGCCGGTTAACCTCCTCCTGAAGCCGGCGTACTGAAGCTGGGCTGCCAGCCCCTTCAGGGAGGTGCGGTAATACCGGTACCGGGACGGCAGGAAAGCCTGAGGCTGAACGGTGCGGACCGACGGGCCTGCACGGAAACGCTCAGCTAGGAGCTTCGCTGCGACTCGGCCACGGGATTTAAGAAGACCCAGCTGAAGGAAGGAGCGTCCCAACTCCAGCCCCCGGCTAATGGCGTGCTTCACAGACATTGTGAACACAAAAATGTGCCTCAAGAGGCTTGGAAAGCTCACTTCCGCTAGCTTATCTTGTTAGTAAACAACAGCTGTGGAGCATGCGCAGAAGATTCTAAGATCCTCTGGCGACATCAAGCGTCAAGAGCGTCACACGACATGTGTGATTACAACCCAAAGAGCCATTTCTACCACATGTCCAACTACCAGACTAGGTGTGACCAAGTCACTGCTTTTCAAGTCACAAGTAAGTCACAAGTCTTTCCAGTCAAGTCCAAGTCAAAGACAACCAAGTTCAAGTCGAGCCCAAAGTCAATGATGTGGAAGTCCAAGTCCTAAACTTTGAATTTTCAAGTCATAATCAAGTCATCTGTCCAACTTCAATTTAATGACAATGATAATAAATAAATTCCAGAAATAAAACTTCTTAAAACTGAATTTATTTGCTCAAATAAGCAGAAAGTGCAACTGAAACTGATTATAAACAAAGTGCTGCTGCAGTTGGCAGAACAAGATCAAACCCAGAACAAAGAATCATTTATGATTTTCGTCCGTGTCGTGCCACTTTTGTGCTGAATATCAAATATGCTCAAGTCATCATCAAGTCAACAGATGCAAGTCGATTCAAGTAGCAATTCACTGGTGTTCAAGTCCGAGTCAAGTTGTAAGTCTTTATAGGTTTTATCAAGTCAAATCAGAAGTCATTAAAATAAATACTCAAGTCTGACTCGAGTCCAAGTCATGTTACTCAAGTCCATACCTCTGCCAACTACCCACCTGCATAGAGCCACATTATCGATTTGACTTTAGACTTAGTTCATTTATGTTATGTACGGTTGGTTTATTCCTTCAACATTTCAGGTAAATAACTTAATGCAAGACAAGTAGGCCTACTATCTATCTATCTATCTATCTATCTATCTATCTATCTATCTATCTATCTATCTATCTATCTATCTATCTATCTATCTATCTCGTGAGTCGTGGAGGATGGCTGCTTATACTGAGCCAGGATTCTCTGGAGGTTTCTTCCTGTTAAAAGGGAGTTTTCCTCTCCACTGTCGCTTTATGCTTGCTTAGTATGAGGATTGCTGTAAAGACTCTGACACTAGTCAGTGACTCGATGCAATTTGCTGAGTTCCTTATATAGGAAACATTTTTTCTGATTGGCTCAATGAACAGACCTGAATTGGGATGTTTATTATGTGAAGTGCCTTGAGACGACTCTTGTCGTGATTTGGCGCTATATAAATAAACTTAATAGAATAGAATAGAATAGACTTTATTGATCCCACAGTGGGGAAATTCACTTGTTACAGCAGCACCAGCACTCACCAGAATAATTTGAAGAGAAAAAGTTAGTGAAGAATGGAGAAAAATCATCCTAAATAGCAAAAAACTGAAATATGTGAACATTGTATAAAAATCTGGACAGCTAAAATGTCTAAACACCTGTTATTTCAGTAGGACTAGTTTATCAGTTGAATTTTTACATTTAGCTGAACTTTGAAATTAGCATCATATGCTGAATTCAGAAACTAATTGCTGAAGCTGCTGAAAAGCTGAAGTGAAGCGGAACTAAGCTAAACTGTCAAAATATGTATTTAAAGCTTTAGAAGCAAAAATCCCCAACAAGTGTAATAAAGCTCAGAATATAGGTGAAGAATGGACAAAAAAATGCTAAACACCAGAAAACTTTAATCTTTGAACATTGATTAAAAACTCGAAATTTTAAATGTTAAACAGCTGGCTGTCACGTTTAGGAGAGTAGGACCCAAATTGCAAAACCCAGGATGACACGAAGCAGGAATTGAAATAAAGAAAATCCTTTTATTGTAGGATGTGTCCAAAATAAAGAATAAATCCAAGAATCCAGGGAGTCAAAAAACACCAGAGGAACGAGCAGACTGACAGGACTTATAACGCTAACAAGCAACAATGGACCGACAAGAACACAGAGACAGACAGGGCTTAAATACACTGGGAGGAGCAATCAGGGAAACAGGAAGCAGGTGTGTGGGGTGAGCTGCTGGAGGGAAGGCAGGTGACACTAATCAACTCAATGGGGAAAACAGAAACAGAGGATGGCAAATACCTTAACACAAAACTAAACAACAATTTCCTAAAGACAGAGGGAAGGACTAACACAACCTAGCTGGAGGAGGACATAGTACATACACACATTGAGCTGGGGACAACGAGGCTGGAGCTGACCTGGGAGGAAACAGTAAAAGATAACATCAGACACTAGACTGGCACATAAACTGACACACAGAAACTGACACAGAAAAAGGACACAAGAGGGCGCCAAAGGGCTACAACATAAGACGCATAACAGGGATGCAGACAAGGACACATGAGGGCGCTAAGAGAGCACAAGGGGAGCTGGGGGAACAAAGGGACACAAGAGGGAATCTAGAGAGGGATGGAGGACACCAGGAGGCACATAAAGGAAGGGGGCTGACGGAGACCATGACACTGGCATTTGAATGAGAATAGTTTAATGGGTATATTTTTACAATTGGCTGAACTGTGAATTTAGAAATATTTGCTGGGGGTAGTAAAGAGTTGTTCACAGTGGATGTGAAGTTCAAAAGTTGCGGCATTTTCAGTTTAGAGTGGTGAGAGGCATTTTTTTAAATTTGAATTTTCTCAAACAAATGAACCGTACAACCACAATGTTCGGAGTACAGTCATGAATTATAGTTCCAAACGAAGGTATATTCGTTAGCTGTAAGCCAGCGTGTGTCTCATTTCAATCGGACCTACGGTTCTCTCGGGACAACGCCGGAAATGGAGCAAGGGAGGGTCACCGCTCCTATCTTTCCCCAATATAACTTTTGTGAATTTTTCTGAAAATTTCAAGTCGTACCTCAACTTCTACCTGCGATTTTAGAAAAAACGTAAAAGATATCAAAAAGCCTCTTTAATATGTTAAACAGGAAAGTCTTCCTTGAACCGTCACCTTATCGTGGTGGGGGAGTTTGAGTGCCCTAATGATCCTAGGAGCTATGTTGTCTGGGGCACTTAGTGCCCCTGGTAGGGTCTCCCATGACAAATTGGTCTTAGGTGAAGGGTGAGACAAAGAACGGTTCGAAGGATCTTTCATGGCGGTTAAAACGAAGAGTCGGAGTACCCGGCCCGGAGGGTTACCGGGGTCCCACCCTGGAGCCAGGCCTGGGGTTGGGGCCCGTGAGCGAGCGCCTGGTGGCCGGGCTTTCGCCCATGGGGCCCGGCTGGGCCCAGCCCGAACCGGATACATGGGCTCGTCCAACTGTGGACCCACCACCCGCAGGAGGAACATGAAGGGTCCGGTGCAATGCGAATCGGGTGGCAGACCAAGGCGGCAGCCTTGGCGGTCCAATCCCCGGACAAGAAAACTAGTTTTTGGGACATGGAACGTCACCTCGCTGGCGGGGAAGGAGCCGGAGCTTGTGGCAGAGGTTGAGCGGTACCGGCTAGATATAGTCGGACTCACCTCGACACATTGCATTGGCTCTGGAACCCGAGACCTGGAGAGGGGTTGGACACTCTACTTTGCTGGAGTTGCTCCGGGTGAGAGGCGGAGGGCTGGGGTTGGCTTTTTGTTAGCCCCGAGACTCTCTGCCTGTGTGTTGGGGTTTACCCCGGGGGACAAGAGGGTAGCTTCCTTGCGCCTTTGGGTCGGGGAACGGGTCCTGACTGTTGTTTGTGCTTATGGGCCAAATATCAGTTCAGAGTACCCACCCTTTTTGGAGTCCCTGGGACGAGTGCTAGATAGTGCTCCATCAGGGGACTCCATTGTCCTGCTGGGGGACTTCAATGCTCACGTGGGCAATGACAGCTTGACCTGGAGGGGTGTGATTGGGAGGAACGGCCCACCTAATCTGAACTCGAGCGGTGTTTTGTTATTGGACTTCTGTGCAAGCCGCAGTTTGGCCATAACGAACACCATGTTCGAACATAAGGATGCCCACCGGTACACTTGGTACCAGGGCAGCCTAGGTCACAGGTCGATGATAGATTTTGTAGTCGTATCATCTGACCTGCGGCCGTATGTTTTGGACACCCGAGTGAAGAGAGGGGCGGAGCTGTCAACTGATCACCACCTGGTGGTGAGTTGGATCAGATGGCAGGGGAAGATGCCGCGTAGACCTGGCAGACCCAAACGCATAGTGAGGGTCTGCTGGGAATGCCTGGCAGAAGAACCTGTCAAGACGGTCTTCAACTCCCATCTCCGGCAGAGCTTTGACCACGTCCCGAGAGCAGTGGGGGACATTGAGTCCGAGTGGGCCTTGTTCCTCTCTGCGATTGTCGAGGTGGCTGTTGCTAGCTGTGGTCGTAAGGTGGCCGGTGCCAGTCGTGGTGGCAACCCCCGTACCCGCTGGTGGACACCAGAGGTTCGGGGAGCCGTCAAGCTGAAGAAGGAGGCCTACAGGGCGTGGCTGGTCAGTGGGTCTCTGGAGGCAGCAGACAGGTACCGGATAGCCAAGAGGGGTGCAGCAGTGGCAGTTGCCGAGGCAAAATCTCGGGCGTGGGAGGAGTTTGGTGAGGCCATGGAGAAAGACTATCGATCGGCTCCAAAGAGGTTCTGGCAAACTGTCCGGCGCCTCAGGAGAGGAAGGCAGCAACTCGCTCACACTGTTTACAGTGGGGATGGGGAGCTGCTGACGTCAACTGAGGCTATAGTCGGACGGTGGAAGGAATACTTTGAGGAGCTCCTCAATCCCACCAATGCGCATTCCGAGGAGGAACCAGAGCTGGGAGGCCTGGGGATGGACTGTCCAATCTCGGGGGCAGAAGTTGCTGAGGTAGTCAAACAACTACACAGCGGCGGAGCCCCGGGGGCGGATGAGGTTCGTCCTGGGTATCTCAAGGCTATGGATGTTGTAGGGCTGTCATGGTTGACACGTCTCTACAACATTGCGTGGTCATCGGGGGCAGTTCCTAGGGAGTGGCAGACCGGGGTGGTGGTCCCCATCTTTAAGAAGGGTGACCTGAGGGTGTGTTCCGACTATAGGGGGATCACACTCCTCAGCCTCCCTGGAAAGGTCTACGCCAAGGTACTGGAGAGGAGGGTCCGATCGATAGTTGAATCTCAGATAGAGGAGGAGCAATGTGGTTTTCGTCCTGGCCGTGGAACTGTGGACCAGCTCTATACCCTTGCAAGGGTGATGGAGGGGGCATGGGAGGTTGCCCAACCAATCCACATGTGCTTTGTGGATTTGGAGAAGGCTTATGACCGTGTCCCCAGGGGCACCCTGTGGGGGACGCTCCAGGAGTATGGGGTGGGTGGCTTTCTGTTAAGGGCCATTCAGTCCCTTTACCAGAGGAGCGTGAGTTTGGTCCGCATAGCCGGTAGTAAGTCGGACCTGTTCCCAGTGAGGGTTGGACTCCGCCAGGGCTGCCCTTTGTCACTGGTTCTGTTCATCACTTTTATGGACAGAATTTCTAGACGCAGCCGTGGTGTGGAGTGTGTCGAGTTTGGTGGCAGGAGAATCTCGTCTCTGCTTTTTCCGAATGTGAAGCGGCTGGGATGAGGATCAGCACCTCCAAATCTGAGACCATGGTTCTCGACCGGAAAAGGGTGGCTTGCCACCTCCGGGTCGGGGGAGAGGTCCTACCTCAAGTGGAGGAGTTTAAGTATCTCGGGGTCTTGTTCACGAGTGAGGGTAGGAGGGATCGGGAGATCGACAGGCGGATTGGTGCGGCGTCTGCAGTGATGCGGACGCTGAGCCGATCTGTCGTGGGGAAGAGGGAGCTGAGCCAGAAAGCCAGGCTCTCAATTTACCGGTCGATCTACGTCCCAATCCTCACCTATGGTCATGAGCTTTGGGTAATGACCGAAAGAACGAGATCGCGGATACAAGCGGCCGAAATGAGTTTCCTCCGTAGGGTGGCCGGGCTCAGCCTTAGAGATAGGGTGAGGAGCTCGGACATTCGGGAGGGACTCGGAGTAGAACCGCTGCTCCTCCGGATCGAAAGGAGCCAGTTGAGGTGGTTTGGGCATCTGGTCAGGATGCCTCCTGGACGCCTCCCCGGGGAGGTGTTTCGGGCATGTCCTGCCGGCAGAAGGCCCCCGGGTCGACCCAGGACACGTTGGAGAGGTTACATCTCCAATCTGGTCCGGGAACGCCTTGGGGTCCTGCTGGAGGAGCTGGTGGACAAGGCCGGGGAGAGGACGGCCTGGAGCTCCCTAGTTGGGATGCTGCCCCCGCGACCCGGACCCGGATAAGCGGAGGAAGACGACGACGACGACGAGGAAAGTCTTGTGAGTTTGTTAAACTTTGAATGAAGTCTCTAAGTTAAAAGGAACCCAATAAAGTTTTAGGTCAAAAAAGTGATAGGAATTTGCTGAAAATGGACCAATCCCATTCATTTCAATTGGAAATTTTCACAGAAAAAGCTTAATAACTCGAAAGATTTTAAAGATATCAATGCCAAAAGTAATAGCCGGAAAGAGCTTAACGAGCTGAACTTTTTGATATAAAATTGTTGAAATAGTTACAAATTTGAAGGTTCAAAAAGTGTACGGAAGAAGAAGAAGAAGAAGAAGAAGAAGAAGAAGAAGAAGAAGAAGAAAGAAGAAACAGGAAAACAGTAGTTTGAATGCTTAACAGCATTCAAACAATTACCCATTGAAAAAGCACGTGTTTTTATTTATGTATTTGTAAGGGTAGCTTGCTGCTTGATACTGCTATGCTGTATTTTGATGTTTTAATTAACTCTTTGGCCATCACCCCTTAACTCATTACCATAGGTGAAGGTTACTCCCCAATTATCTGCAGGGAGCCGGGATCGACCCGACAGCCCTCTGATTACGGGACAAGCTACCTCCTGAGTTACTGCTGCCCCTTGCTGACACATGCTGTATAATGAATACAGCATGTGTGAATATGTGTTACTTGGCCACTCAGAACATTGACCCTATACAAACATGTTCTGTTTGCATGCTTTTATAACGGATGCAATAAGAGAATAAACCTAGGTTAACAAAATAAAAAGTCTGGGTGACACTTTAAAATTGCATATTATTATTCAACTTTAATCGGTATAGCTTCATAAGTAGAATTACTAGTAACAGAACTGTTCAACCCAAGTTATTAATGTTGAGATCAGTAAAAAATACAACAACATCAATAGGAAGTATGGATCTTCTTTTAGAAAAATCAAAGGTGAAATGAAAGGATTATGGAATTTGAACTCATTATTAGGAAACCTTTATATCTAGAAAATACTAAACACACAGGGGAGTACAGTTAGAGCCACATACATGTTACATTGGGTACCAGAAACAAATTCAAAGGTGAAATATTGATTTAATTACGTAATTAAGAACTGATTTTTTACACGTCCGCATTAATCAACCAGTTGATCCAGTCGACGTACTGCCTGACTTTGGTGTAGACACCTGGGTAGTATGGATTAGCGCAGCTGATTCCCCAGGAAACGATGCCCTCAAAGTTGCCATTGCAGACAAGGGGACCACCAGAGTCACCCTGTGGATCATCAAGAAAGTTAGAACTGAATACTTTTTGCTGGCGCCCATGTGAAAAATGTCTAACTGATCCAACATTTTCTATATGGTAAAGAGAGACGTAAACCTTTGAAAATGGCTGTAGGTTGGATGCTAAAAACACCCTAAGAACTATTTTACATAAGCTCATGCAAAATGTGTCAATTCGTTTGATTTCCTAAGGGCTAGTGAGCAAGAACTGGTGTGTTTTAGAGTAGTCGCTGCATGTGAAAGTGCTTCTCATCCTACACAAAACTACGCTAAGAAAAAGTCTAAAAGGTGATGCGTGCATTCATACCTGGCAGGAATCTTTGCCACCAAACGGAGACCCAGCACACAGCATGTTACTGGTGATTCTGCCCCAGTAGTACCAGTTACAGACAGATATTTCTCTCACATCCACAGCTCGAAGCACAGGGGAGAGTTCGTAACTATAAACCTGGGTCACACCCCAGCCGCTCACTGTGCAGACGTCCCCCCTCAATGGGGGGGTGGTGGAATCAGGGAGGTTAACTGGGACCACGTTGGCGTTCAACACTGCTGGCTGACTCAGCTGTAACACAGGTTGGATCATGAGCTGCTGGCTGTGCAATCGCATCATGTTTGTGATTAATACAAGTATGTGGAGAAAAAAAAAACGCTTGTTGCTGCGAACCTTGATCAGCATGATGTCATTGTCATAGTTCCTGTAGTTGTAATTCTGGAGAAATATTTTAGAGACATTGAAGTTCTGCTCAAATCCTTCTACCACCAGCAGGTTGTGCTCACTCAGCACCACCCTCATCATCGTGTTCCTGAGAGCAAAAACAGAACAATCTGCAGCTTTAAAAAAGGGAAAATACAATGACACGGTTTAGGGTCTTTACTTTCTGTGAAAAAATGTAGAAACAGTTTGGGTGATGTCAGCATCACCAAGTTACGGGAAATTATACATGTAAATATGTGCATGTAAGTCTCCAGATGGCAGGTGTGAGTACTTACGGTCTCCAGCAGTGTGCAGCAGACACCACCCACTGTTGGGCCACCAGTGTTGCACCACAGTAATGCTGCCCTTTTTCCGTTTGCAGGGAGGCCTGATATTTGATTGAATATGGTTCGACCTCCTGACCTCCAACAATTCTCACATCGTCCGCTTCTGTAAACAGCTTTTCTTAACCTCCTTTATTCTTAAAGACAACAACAACAACAAACTGGCCATCTGGACACAAATAAGAGAATAAAAAAAATCTAATAATTCAGAAGTGTGTGTTGTTTTGCTTTGTGATTTCTTTCTTCTGACTCACCAACACACACACACGTTTTTGTGTTTTTCTAAACTCGGCTAATGTGGCGTTCAAGACTACAAATCTAGGATCGTCTTTAGCTGTTGGTGATCATGAAACCTTCCTGAGAACTTACGTGAACAAGCTGAGAAACAGAAAATGAACAGCGCTGTGAAGACTTGAGGAAGATTCATGTTTGATCTGTAGAGGAGGACATTTTCAGTTCTGATGCAGACTCTAGAATCTCAGAGATTCATTTGGAAACGACTTCATTCAACAGCAAAACGTTTAACCCTCTCGGGCTCAAAATCAGTTTTGATAAAAGGACAAACAACTAAGTCCTTCAGGGGTACTTCTGAGTTAAAACATGCTCACGAAATACGTCTGTGGAGTAACCAGATATCTGCAACGCCCGCCTCCAGAGGGTTAAAAAGTATTACTAATAGCAGGTTTTTGTTTCAGAAACCTCCATAAAATTACGATTGAATAATAAAATGAGACAAGATTGATGAGTTTTACAGTCATCTTCTGCTTACCTGATGGCCAAAACCCCAAATCCTTCTGAGCTTCTGTTGAGGCCAGTGTTCTCCTTGAGCCCTTTATACTGTAACTGTACCCCCGTATGAATCCTTTGTTGAATTTATCTTTCTATCTTGTTGTGTACTCTCCTGCTCCCACTGGAACAATGCAGTTGACCTATTACAAAACAAAGCCTAGGTGTTGCTCATTTTTCTGTTCCAGTTTCGTTCTTTCACAGAGCGTTTTTAGGTTGGGAACGCCTCTCCATTCTGAGCATCTTCACTAGTTTAGGGGCAGGGTAAAGACTTGTCGACTGGAACAAATGTGCTGTACTTTTCACAAGATAAAATAAAGACATTCTTACACTTTTTAAGGTTTTAGTGCAGACAATTTAAAAGCCTCCACTGTCTCAAAGTTGTGTCGACACCTTCAGTAAGAAGGCAATAACCAAGTCAACATAGTTTAAAACATCAAAAACCGACCAACGTGTTTACAATCTGTGTAAAATATTAAAACATACAATAAAAAACGGGGAAAAAGGCAATAAAAACAGATAAAATCACAAGTTCAGCTGTCTTTAATGATTCTGAGTTAGGATTAGGTGCGTTCACAGGGTTGTTTGTCTTTTTCTGTCTCTGGGATGGGCATGTCCATGTAAATGGATGGATCGATGGATAAATGGATGGGTGGACGTATGGTAGATGGATGGATGAATAGATAGATAATGGATTCGACGGACGGATGGATGTATGGACAGGCAGATGGCTGGATGAATGGATGAATGGATGGAGATAGATGGGTAAATGACTTGCACTTGTATAGCGCCTCTCAGAGTAAGGACTCCAAAGTGCTTTACACTACAGAGTATCATTCATCCATTCACACACTGAAGGTGATGAGCTACAATGGTCCTTCCGACCACCACCAGCAGGCAAGGTGGGTTAAGTGTCTTGCTCAAGGACACAACAGCAGAATTCTCTGTCCGGAGCTGGGATCGAACCTGCAACCTTCCGATTACTGGACAAACCGCTCAACCTGTTAAGCTACTGCTGCCCCCATGTATGATAGATGGCTTGACGGACGGACAGATGTACGGACAGGCAGCTAGTTGGGTCAATGAATGAATGGATGGGTGAATGAATGGATAGGTGGATGAATGGATTGACAGACAGATGGATGGATGGAAGGATGGATCAGCAAAATACATTTTGTGGTAAATTCAGCAGGTTTGGAACAATCCTTCACTTAGTTATTTACAGAATGTGTTTCAGTTTTCAATAAATATTAATACTTAAGATTAGGGATGGACAATATATCGGCATCAATATCGGCATCGGCCGATGTTTGTCATTTTTTAACATATTGGTGTCGGTTCGATATTAACAATCAGTATTTTTTCCATCTCGTCTCCATTTGTTTGCCTGTTTCAGAGGGTGAGGGGGTGATGTGTAATTGTTCAGTCATGTGAACAGTGAATGAAATCATCTCAGAACCAGAAATGTGTGTGGTGTGTGTACATAACATAAAGTCAGCTTTAATAATTTTCATTCTATACAAAATCTGCTGATTTTAGAAGCCTTAATGTCAGTATATCGGTATCGCAAATATTGGTTATTGGCCATAACAGTGATCTTAATATCGGATATCGGTATCGGCCCCAAAATTTCATATCTGTGCATCACTACGTAAGATATTATCACCCTCTTATTTAGGTTTTCTTAAAATGAACTTTAGGCTTACTTCAACAAGTAGTCCCGCTATAATTTGCTGGGTTTATGGCATCAGTTACACAGTCACACAAGGGCGTAGATTTGGTATGGAGGGAAGCGACATGTCCCACTGATAATTTGGTCGCCTCCAATAAAAAAACAACAAGCCATTCGATGTCTCGTTACCCTAGAGGTGCAGAAAGGCTTAAATGATGTTTTCTCCTCAAGTCCTACCTCCGAAACACTTATGGCCAATGTGATTGGCTGCACATGCTGTCACAGGAGACTCATGTGAGACAATCTACGCCAGTTGTTAGCAGCGCCAAAGCTCGATAGAAAATGTTCTAGCCGTGGGCAAGATTCCCGTGTTTGCAACGCGACGTGCGTGACACATGGGGCTATACATATATATATATGTATATATATATATATATGTATATATATATATATATATATATATATATATATATTAACCGAGGGTCCTAGGAGGATGACGCTAACTGTATAAAAGCTGCACACAGGAATGAACTGGCCTACCTGGCATTCTGGAACTGTCACGGTGGGCCGTTTGCAGACTTCACCTCAAGAGTCTCTGTCATGGTCTGCGTCGGCCCCCTCCTTTTTTGTGCCTCCTGGTGTCCTCCATCCCTCTTTAGATTCCCTTTTGTGTCTCATAGCGCCCTCATGTGTCCTTGTCTTCGTCTCAGTCTTTGTGTCTTATGTGGTACCGGTACAATTATTCCTCCCAGGTCCCGTGTCATCTCATTCCTCCCCAGCCCTTCCAGGTCTTCATTTTCTGTGTCCTTGTAGCCCCCAGCCTCTCAGTCCCCTGCTCTGTGTGTGTGTGTGTGTGTGTGTGTGTGTGTGTGTGTGTGTGTCCTGCCCAGTTAGTGTTTGTGTGTGTGTATGAGTGTATATGTGTGTGTATTATGTCCTCCTCCAGATAGTTTGTGTGAGCCTTTCCCTCAGTCTTTAGGTTTAAATATTGTATTTTAGGATTATCTGCCATTCTCTGTTCTGTTTCCCCATTTAGATTATTATTGTCACTTGCCTTCCCTCCAGCAGCTCACTCCGCACACCTGCTGCCTGTTTTCCTGATTGCCTCTCCCAGTCTATTTAAGCCCTGCCTTGTCTTTGTCTTGTGTCGGTCCATTAATGTTGTTTGTAGTTCTGTCAGTTTTGCCCCTCTGTGTTTATTCCAGAGTTTTTTGATCCCCAGATATTTATCTGGTTTTTTGGATTTTGGCTTCCAGCTTAGAGATACTTGGTTTATGGCTCACCTAAAGATAAAGAACTTTTTTTCATCATTCTTGCCTCGTGTCATCCTGGGTACTGCATCTTGGGTCCTCACCACCGCCTCATGACAGTCTCACAGAAGTAGTTTACGTGAGGATGGAGGCAACAAAGAAGGTTGAGGACACAAGGATATATTTGCCAAAGAAACGTGTATGTCACCTAAAGTTAGATTTGCTGATGAAATGAGTCCATCATAATAACGTTATTGGCAGTGCTAGGCTTTAGTTCTCAGCAGAGAGAGAGAGAGAGAGAGAGAGAGAACCGTGCTGTAACATCCAAAAGGGTCAATTTTCACCTATATATTGACCAACATAACAACCTTTCATGTACAGAAATAAATCCACTTTCTGTTTGGCCTTCCAGAACCAGAAGGTTCTGCTCAGTGCTTGTTTACATACCATGAAGACAAAACATTCAAACAGACACTCTGTCCCAAGGTCCTGCACTCTCTGCATAAAAGCCAGACTGCTGAATTCCTCACTATCCACTTGGAGCTTCTACAAGATTTTATAATTATAAGTCAAATAATCATATGTGATGAATGAACAAGATGTTTAAATCAAATGTTTGAATATTCTGTGCTTAGATCAATAAATTTGAATATTGTTCTTACAATGATCCATTTATATCACAAACCAGTGTGTTTGATTTAACAAGTTAATCATTGTTTACACTCATACACGTTACAATAAGATACTCAATATGCATCTCACATAAGAGTTTTAAAGATTCTTGTTCACAAAGTGTTAAGAAATCTTTGTATCTGAGGAAGGCGTGGCTTTCTGAGGGATGTTGGTAAAGACTCAGAAACGTGTCAAAATCTGATTTGCTAAATTTGGCCAAAAATCATAACAAAGTAGTTTAATAAAACAAGAACTACTTCCCGATCAATTCAGTTTCTAACTGACTCCCGATTTGGCCAGATCGGGAAAGAAGCCTCTTTTGAAACAATCTCCTTTGACCTCCTGTCAAAGCTTCTCTGCAACGCTGCGGCTGGTACCAGACAACCGGCTCTTCTAAAGCCTGGTTCATGCTTCTCCGTCAGCTCCGCAAGGGACACACATGCACAGATTGACAGACGCGTTTTGCGCTCATTCTTCTCCGTCTCCTGGAGAGTGTTGCAAAGCAATTCCCTGCCAGGACAGCAGAGGGCGTAGCGCTGTTCTGTGGTATCCTGTCATGTATCGGTCCAAGATAGTGTGTTTATATAGTGTTTTTTTTATGTATATAAGAGGCTTTTTAACACGGACAAATTTGTCTCTCATTCTCCTCCACCTCTTCATGCGCTCCCCACCTCTAAACCCATGTTTCCTGTCATTTCCGTCCACAAATAAAATGCTTGCTGCGCATCTTTTCACTCCTCCAGTCACGGGGGAATTAAACGTTCATATTTTAGAGTTTTTTCATGAGGTATTCTTCAAGCTTCATAGTGTCTGCTGCTAGTTATCCTCAGCTCTCTTTATGTTTTTGAGGGCGCAATGGCGGCGGTGTAGACGACAGCGGCGTCGTGACCAATCACAAGCTTGTGTTCTCCGTCTCGACGGACGGATGTTTGGAAAAGAGAGCTCGACTCCGTCCGTCCTTGCGGGGGCTCTCCAGCAGGCCCGCGACGATGGATAATGGCGTTGCGTTTCTCCGCACCGACGCAGACGCAGAAGCATGAATCAGGCTTAAGAGCCAAGCAAACATCAACCTTAGACGCAAACAAGCATTCCAGCTTCCTGTCTTCACCTCGAAGGATTTCAGACTGGACAGGTCCTATCTGATCTGTCTACGGGTTCCTGATATCAGAGGTTCACTCCACCGGCAGTGACCCGCATGACCCCCCGGATCGAATGAGAACCTCCACACCAAGGGTACGTAGACTTGGCACGACAGATTACGTCTGATGCTGTTTATAAATAAACAACTCTCTGGTTTAGAACCAAACAACAAATTCTTTTACCCCCAGATTTCACAATTTCTCTCAGATACAAAAAACGGTTACAACATCTAGCTTCCGTCACAACACCTTACATCCACCACGTCACATCTCATTATTCATATCTTGTCATGTATAAATTATTAGTTTAGGAAAAATAATTAAATTTATTTTCTAAACTATTGACTTGACTCTTTCTGAATTAATACGAAGTGTGTTTATGGTCCTT